GCTGCTGCTTGGTGGCGTGACTTCTAGCCATGCACGTACAACTGAAGTGTTTGCGAGGTGGGGGCGATTGAGGACCCTCGTAAGAAAGGAACAAAGGCCTTGTCTCCTCTCTGCTGCTGTCTCTGTCTCGCTCTTACAGCTTAAACCCTGCTTCTTCGGCAGCGGGGGAATGAATACACCCGGCAGCAGCTGCTGCAGTTGCTGCTGCAGCCACTGAAAGTCGCAGTGTCTTCGCCGCACAGCAAACGGCCCCATGCCTTCTACAGTCCCCGTGACAGCATATAAAGATGCACGAGACCAAAGCGAGGGGCCCACCAAGAAGCCGCTGGCGCTGCTGTTGCTGTTGCTGCTGCTGCTGGTCACCGCCTCCGTCACCCGCAGCTCTATACGCCGACGCATCCGCTCAGCAGCACAAATGCCACCCCAGAAGGAAGACTGCAGCAACTGCTTCAGCACATCACCGCAGCAGCAGCAGCAGCATTCTGCACACAGCACCTGCTGCGCACCGGGAGTCCCCATATTGAAACTGCTGCTGTTGTTACTGCTGCTGCTGCTGCTACTGCTGCTGCTGCTGCTTAGAGCCCCGCCCGTGCTGCAGCAGCAACACACTGCACGCCCACGAGCCCGAGACAAACCTATAGAGGCCTCCTCCGGCAGCAGCACCGCGTCTGTGGGGTCTCCGAACGTCTCTGCAGCAGATGTGCTGCGGTTGCCAACACAGGCAAGCCCTGCTGTCGTTGCTGCAGCAGCAACAGCAGCAGCAGCTGCTGCAGCGGAGCCGTGAGCGAGATGGGGACAGTCCAGGCGGTTGCAGCGGCGCGGCTTCGAGGGTTGGCAAGGCCCTGCCACTGCTGCTGTTGCTGCTGCTGCAGCACAGTGAGACAGCGTGTGGCTTTCATCTGTGTGCAGCAGCGTAAAGGAATCGAAGACATCACCGTCGCTGCTGATGGAGGGAGTGCGAGCTTGCTGCTGCTGCTGCTGCAACTCCAGAGCTTCCAGCTCCTGCTGCTCCTCTTCCTCCTGCTGCTGCTGCAGCAGCAGCAACTCCGCCTCCTCGTCGTGCTGTTGCTGCTGCTGCAACTGCAGCTGTTGCTGCTGTTGCAGCTGCAGCTGCTGCTGCAGCAGCCTGCTGCTGCACAGAGAAGACAAACCCAGTCCGGTTCGCGCCCCAGACACAGCACAGCTCAGCCGCTCTCGAAGACCAGCCCTGGCCGGCTCGTCAGCAGTAGCAGAAGCAGCAGCAATTGCTGCTACTGCTGCTGCTGCTGCTGCTGCTGCTGCTGGTGTCGACGCTGCTCCTGTGGTTCCTGCTGCTGCTGCCCTGTCTACCCCATTCGCTGAGTTCATGAATGGCGCTAGGGCGGCATCTTCCGAGGCGTCAAGAGCCTCTGTCCTCCGCCCGTTCACCCGCTGGCACTGCTGCTGCTGCTGCTGCTGCTGCTGCTGCTGCTGCTGCCGCTGCTGTTGCCGTTGCTGCTGTCGGTGCTGCTGGCGCTGCTGTTGTTGCGGCTGCGCTGTTGCTGCTGCTTCATCTGCTGGAGAGGCGTTCCCTGTCTGAGCTGTCGTGGCGGCCTCTGACTCGCTGCTGCCCACTGATGCTGCTGCTGCTGATATTCCGTACAGGGCTGCTGGCTGCTCCTGCTGCGGCTCTTGCTGCTGCTCCTGCTGCTGCTGTGACGCAGCAGTGCTAGAAGCGGCACCAGACGCAGCTTGCTGCGCAGCAGCAGCAGCAGCAGCAGAAGCCGCAGCATTTGCACGCTGCTTGCTGTTGCTCGCCCGAGAACCTGCGTTTTGTCTTCCCATCTTGCTACGACAACTGCTGCAGCAGCAACAGCCGGAGCAGCAGCTGCTGCTACTGCTGCCGCTGCTGCTGCAGGAGGTGCTGCTTCGCGGAGGAGCTCTCAGCTCGGAGGGCCGGCGAAGCAGACGCAAATCACATAAATACTTGTTGCTGATGCTGCTGCTGCTGCAGCTGTTTTCCCTCGGCACCCTCGTACAGGTTGGAGGGGCTGTGGCCGTTTGGCCCGGGCAGGGGCCCTGGCCTACAGTGCTGCTGCCGCAGGTGCAGCAGCAGTTTGCTGCCTGCGGCAGATGGGCCGCTGCAGCAGCTACTGCAGCTGCTGCAGCTGCTGCAGCTGCTGCTGCTGCTGCAGCTGCTACTGCAGCTCTAGACGCAGCACGAGCTGTAGGGGGAGGCCCCTTCTACTGTTGGTGAGGCCTGCGGGGCCATCAGAATGACAGCTGATAAGCAGCTACCGATGCAGAAGTGCGGTGTTACGTTCTTCTGTTGATGCCGGTATTTGCTGCTGCTTCTGCTGGTGCTGCTGCTGGTGCTTCTGCTGCTGCTGTGGAGGCGGTGCAGCAGACAACTGTGTTGTTGTCACCAATCGCCAACTGGGAAATGCCAGATGGGTGAGGCTTTTTGCAATTCAGCCCGCCGGTGAAGCTGCTGCTGCTGCTGCTGCTGCTGGTATGACCACCGGGAAGCGCGGCAGAGGCAGCCTCGTGAGCCCCGGTGTAGCGGTGTCTGATTGATGTGAAGACGAATAAAGAGAAAATAAACAGACTGCAGCAAATGAAATCGAGAGAGGGCAACGAAAGCCTACACCGTTGCCGGCGTGCGTAGCAGCAGCAGCAGCAGCAGCAGCAGCAGCTGCTGCAGCAGCAGCAGCAGCAGCAGCAGCGCGAGCGCAGGACAATGCGAAGCAACAGCTCAAAGGCTGCACCGCGTTGGCTGGATATAGGAAAATGATAAAATAAAAATAACAAAACTGCATAAAACAATCACTGCATTAACACCAAAAACCATCGCCTTTAAACATCAACCTCTGCTGCCACCCAACAACCAGTGCGGCAGCGGTCGGCGCAGCAGCAGCAGCAGCAGCAGCAGCTGCTGCTGCTGCTGCTCGCGCTGCTAAAGCAACAGCTGTAGAGAAACAAACACAATTTTTGGCAAAGACAGAAGACCACAAGACAAAAACCTCAATAGTGAAAAGAATAACGAGAAAAATTGATAGAGAAGCTTCGGTAGAAGCAAGCCTCCAGTCTGTATAGCTGCTGCGTGCTGTTGCTGCTGTTGCAATGTGTACGAAGCTGCTGCTGCTGCTGCTGCTGCTGCTGCTTCTGCCATCCGCGAGGCAGCAACAGTTATTTATATTCCTTGTCTTGCCGTCAATTCACCAAGTATTATTTTTTTATTTACTTTCGGGGGCCCCCTGCTCGCCCCACAGCAGCAGCAGCACAGCAGCAGCCCTAGGAGCAGCAAGACCACTGGTGGTGGGGCCTCTGTACCCCTGGGGGCCCCAGTAGACCGTCCCCCTCACTTCTGCGTGCTGCGGGCGTTTGCTGTTAGCATTTTTCGTGTTTTCATTTAATATTTATTTATTAAAAACAAAGACAACACCATATAAGACAAGTACTACACATCCAGTGCGCAGCCGCGTGCTGCAGCTGCCCCGCAGCAGCAGCAACAACGGCAAGCAGCCTCGGCGGCGAGACACGCTTCAGTATATAAACAGCTGCAACCACAGCTGCTTGCCCTTGCTGCTGTGGTTGCTGCGGCTGTTGCTGCTGCGTTTGCTGTGGCTGCTCCTGCTGTGGCTGCTGTGGCTGCTGTGGCTGCTGCTGCAGTGCTCGTGCTGCGGCCGCTGCTGTCGGTGCTGCTCCCGCTGCAGCTGTTGCTGCTGCTGCTTCGCCTCGCGAGGACATGGCGAGAAGGCCCCCCAGTGGCAGCCAGACAGAGGCGGCAGTGGCAGGGGAAGCAGCAGCAGTAGCAGCAGCTCCGACAAAACCCCGAACATCTGCAACTGCAGCAGCAGCAGCAGCCACTGCAGCAGGAGCCGACGGCCCACCCGCAGCAACAGACGCACAAACGTCGTCTTTCTGTGAACGAGCGGCTCCTTCAGCAACTGCTGCGGCTCCACCATTAGCAGCAGCAGCAGC